CCGGGGTAAGTGTTAGCTCCCTATGAGCATGCTTGTTGAGGTATCTGCTGCTGGGCCGTCCCTTCCTTTGCGGACTTCATTTGCAGCTGCCAATTGTTCGAGTTTGCCGTTTCTCAAGGTCCTCGAGGTCCTCGTTGCCTCGAGTTTGCCGTTTCTCAAAGTCCTCGTTGCCTCGCTGTCTTGTTTCCTCTCGCTCTTCGCGCGGGACTCAATTTGAACATGCTAGTTTCTGGGGCTTTCTGCACCGCCTCCTTTCATTGTTGCTGAATCATGTAACCAGGGTCCCGCGCCTGGTGATGTACGAACTGCATGCGCTCACAGCTCCCGCTCACGAGGCTTCGTCCTCTTCGTTACAACCAAGACATGCACCCCATGCCATGGTGGCATGGGAATTCCTTTTCATGCACAGAGCAACTAGAACGGTTGCTGCTGCATCGCCTGATCTTGAGTCGAACTGGGCCCCTTAACAACAAGCTAAACAGCTAAGCAGACTCATTGGCAGTCGTCTCTTCCCTCGTGAATCAAAAAACTCTGCATTTCACAATGATATCTTATGTGTGGAAGCCGCTTCGGGTTCAGCCGAAGCTGCACAGGCTTTGCATGCATTTTCCGACCGCTGCCGTAAGTGAGGGCCAAAGAGACGATGAGTTTCAGAATGGCCTGGCCCCTCGCACGTCCATTTTTTTTTGGTGTTGTGTGTGTGTGTGTGTGTGTGCGTGTGTCGGCTCCGACTCTTATGCGTGCCTTGCTAATATCACAAGATCTGATTCAGACCCAGTTGCTCTGAATGCGCTCACCTCCCACATTTGCATTCTGCCACTGATTGGTGTTGAGAAGAACTTCAGACAATGACAAAGCAGAGGATGCATGCACGCAAGGAGTGCTTTTGTTCGGCATGCCTCCGAAGGGTAGCGTAGCGGGGGCAAAAGATTGCTCACTGGCCTGGCCACTTGTGGAACGTGGTGTCGGGTCGGGTGTGTCTGCCTGTCATCGCACTTATTCGTGCCCTATTCCGCACGATCTGCTGTGATAAGCCGATCTGCTCAAAATGCTCCAGCAGTCCTTGGGTTTTGACATCAGACCATAGCATTTGCGGGCCCCGGCAATGCGACGGCGGGCAACCCTAGGTGGAGGCAAGGCAGAGAAAAGCCCACCACAAAATGCGCAGAACCACGTCGGGGTTCGTAGAACCACACCGGAGTTTAGAGAACCGCCCTTTGGATTCGCAGACCTGCCTGCGCTGCTTGCTTACACTTTTTGCAACCAAGGCCCACTGCTCACAAGAAAGTGTTTGTTCAGTCTGTGGTCGTGCCTATCGCGCCCTTTATATTGGTAGGACTTGTGTGACTTCCCCCCCCTTTCCCGCAATCATTTACCTTATTTGGACTTCTACACGCAGAGCAGCTAAGGGGTCGTTCGCCCATTATCTGCGTGAGAAGTGTCTGGCGCTGAGCATTTTGGCTCTTTTTGCCGGCTGTGGCGCTCCCGCATGTGCTTGAGGTAGCTGTTTCCACGACTTCATCACGGGTTTGTTCCGCTCTTGTGCAGATGCCTCAGGGTTGACTTGCATGCCGTGAATAGCTGATCTGAGACTTCATAGTGCGGCTGAGGAGCCAGGGGTCCAGCTTCGTGACGGGTGCTTGGCCCTGAGTGTCCGAGCTGTGTTTCCGTGCTGGTGTTCGACTTTGTCACGCACTTGCCGAGGGGTTTTAAAAACATACAAATCATGAAGTCTTTGTTTAAGTCAGCCGAGACCATACAAACGCCTAGGAACCCAAACCCTGAAAGACAATGAGCCCTAAAGAATCCCTTTTGCTAAAGAACCTTTAGCCGCTAAAGCCCCAGAAATTCCATCATGATCACTGCGTACCTTAGAAAACAAGTACAAAAGGCCAGAACCAGCAGCCATTGCGAACAGGAATATTCAGATTGCGCACTTTCAGACTATGCCTGAGCGGAGCGCAGGCCTATCATTGCATGTATGAAGAAGGCAGTCTACTACGCGAACCTACCCCAAAATTGGCTTCGACTTTGATAACCGAGCATCCACCCATCGTAATGTGCTTCTCTGATGCCATGGTGGATTGCCTGGCAAAATTTGCAGGGATTCCATGTGTCCAGCCTCCGAACGAGGCATCTCCCGGCCTCCGCAAGTTCAGAGATCTTGCCAACCACAAATCGTAGCCGCGTCTCCTTAAGATTGGAGATGCCCTTCTCATAGATTCGCTGTGCTAACACCGATGTGCTCAAGCGCTCTATCGTCAAGGCCAACACCCAGAATGCCATACTCAGTCAGCGGCCACACAGAAACTTTGTACACCCAGATACAGTAAGCGCTAAGCCTTGGAAAGGAGTGTGTGCAGAGGAATCTCTGCTGCACATGAAACGCTTGAGTATCAAGTCCGTATCAAGTCAGGGCGCTCTCACTCCGGCCCGGCAAGACTGCTTCAGATTTTGAGTGGCTGACCTGCACGCCCATGTTCTTCAGAACTTCGAGCACCACCACAGTCTCCTTCATGGCCTTCTCCATGTCTTCAACACTCCGAACTTTCAGAAACAAGAACTTGTCATCGGCAAAGACAGTCAGTGCATCACTTGTCCATCTTTCCCTGAGTCGTGTGCGTGTTGAGAACCTCACAGAGTCTCGCAGTCCAAGCAGCATAAATCAAAGGTGCAACCGGACATCCTCGTTTAAGTCCCTTGGTCATAAAAACATCCGCCAGAAAATCCCCATGAGCAATCTCGCAAATGGATTTCGCGTGAACATGAACCAGTAAACTGATCAGGTAGTCCGGCATGCCTGTCGCCACCGAGGAAGAATGCATCTCCTGATGTCGAGACTGAGCATTAGCCCTCCAACTCATTCAGAATGCACTGATCCCAGCAGCTTAGAGAGCTGCGTGGCTGGCCCAAGAGAGCCAAAACGAAACGCATGCATCGGCCCGAAAAAACACCACCTCTGCTTTCTCCTGCATCATCCTTCAGCTACATGCCGTGTGAGCAAGTGCTGCACATTCTTGTTTGGCTCGACGAGAGTGCTGCATCGTTGAACCAGAGTTGTCCCGTAAATTTTTGGTGCGTACTTCAAGCAAGATGTTTCTGCCAGTAGCGTGAAGGTGACTGATCGGTTGCAGCCTCTTTCCATGGAGACATGGCGGCTGCAGTAGCAGTGCCCATTGCGGTGCGGGCCTAAATCTTCAGGTTTTACGTGACCCAAATCGGCGTTGTCGTGCCGTGGGTCAACGTGGGTCAAACAGGCGTTGCCGTGCGGCGGGTCTTTGAGAATGCTGTGAGGCTCGATTTTACACTCCTCCTGCAATCTCGTCTAATGGCCAGATGAAGCTCGTACCCCCGCCCCTCTGTTGCATTGAGACGTGCAGTGCATCAGTTTGTTGAGGCAGCAAGTTGTGATGTCCAGGCCATT